GAGGGGAAGCCCCGCCCTCTCCCTGGCGGCCCCGCCCCTGCGCGTGCTGGGGACACGTGCTGGGCCAGCAGCGGGCGGAAGAAACTCGACTGTCTGCGGCTTTTCTTTCCCCCCTTAGTCACACGCTGGTAGGAAGTGCGGGGTGGAAGGGACCTCGGGAGGTCCCAACCCCCTGCTCCAGGCGGGACCAGACAAGGCTTTGTCTGCCCGGGTCTTCACGTCTCCGAGGATGGAGCTTCCGCCACCTCTCTGGGGAGCCTATTCCAGCGTTTTACCCTCCTAGTGAGAAAGCTCTTCCTCATCACTAGCCTCAGCTTCCCTTGCTGCAACTTGAGACCGTTGCTCCTTGTTCTGTCATCTGCCACCGCTGAGACGAGCCTAGCTCCACCCTCTTCTGAACCCCCTTCAGGTAGGTGAAGGCTGCGATAAAGCCCTCCCTCTGTGTCCTCTTCTCTAGACTAAATAAACCCAGTTCCTTCAGTTTTTATGTCATAAGTCATGTCTCCCAGCCCCCTCATCATTTTTGTTGCCCTTCACTGGACTGTCTCCAATTTGTCCACATCCTTTCTGTAGTGGGGGCCTCAAAACTGAACGCGGGTCACTTCCCTTGACCTACTTGCAACACACCTACCAATGCAGCCCAGTATGCCGTTAGCCTTTGTGGCATCAAGGGCACGCTGGAGGCTCATGTTCAGCTTATTGTCCACTGTAGCCTTCTGGTCCTTTTCTGCAGAGCTGCTGCGCACCAGCCTGTACCAGTGCATGGGATTGTTCTGCCCTAAGCGCAGGACTTTTGCACTTGTCCTTGTTGAACCTCATGAGGTTCCTTTTGGCTCACTCCTCCAATTAGTCGAGGTCACTCTGAATCCTAGCTCTACCCTCCAGCATTATCTACCACTCCCCTCACTCAGCTTGGTGTCATCTGCAAACTTGCTGAGGGTGCACTGCATCCCATCTTCCAGGTCAGTGATGAAGACACTTGAACAAAACTGGCCCCAGGACTGACCCCTGGGGCACTCCATTTGGTACCAGCTGCCAACAAAACATCAAGCCTATTATTCTCCAAGCCTAATGCTCCAGCCAGTTTTCTACCCACCTTACAGTCCATTCATCCAGCCTGTACTTCCTTAGGTTGCCTGTGAAAGTGCTGTGGGAGACCATATCAAAAGCCTTGCTAAAAATCAAGGTATACCACATCCATCCATCTCCCTGCATCCAGAGCATGAGTCATCTAATCCTAGAAGGCAGTTAGGTTGGTCAGGCATGACTTGCCCCTGGTGAATCCATGCTGTCTGTTCCTAATCACCCTCTTCTCCTCCTCCAAGTGCTTAGAAATGGATTCCTAGAGGACCTGCTCCATAATTTTTCCAGGGACTGAGGTGAGGCTGACTGGTCAAATGAGGTTCAAGCCTTAAAAAAAAGTAATGTGCTTTTTTTTTTATCCCCCCAGTAATTAAATATACAGTTGTACAAGGCATTGGTGAGAGTAGTTCTGCTACTGCATATATAGTATTTAGTATATTAATAGTGGCAGAGCTACTCTCACCAATGCCTTGTACAACTGGATATATTTAATTACTAGCAGCGGGGTGTGTGTGGGGGGGTGTGTGTGTGAAAGTCCCAGCAGGGAGAAGTTGAACTACTGATCCAAACACTTCTGCTCAACAGAATAAAAAAAAAAAAAAAAATGGCTGGATGTGTAAGATTTGAAACCAAAATTATTTCAGCTTTAATTATATTCTTACTTTAAGGCACTGATGGACTTGGAAAATGTTTCCCGGTATCTACCTTTAGGCTAGCAGTTTTAAAATAGCAGTTCATGCACCTACTGGGGCTTGAGCACTATGGTCAGTTAACCTTAAGCTGCAACTGCTGATGAAAGAACATGGGCCAGCTTTCCCCACCTGCCTTAGAGCAGTTTCAACCTGTGGTACATGTACCCCTGGGGGTATGTGAGAGATAGGCAGGGGGGTGCATGGGTACCCTAACACTCTCTCTTTTGCCCTTTTCCTCTCTCTCTCTCTCACCCTCTTTTCCTCTCAACACTATGACAAAAAATTTGGTTCGCCACATATTGCATGGTGCTTTAAATTCCCCTGTAATAATTTGGCATCAGCCCCAGTAATAATTTGGTTCAGCCCTCCTAGCTTTGGCCTACATGGCCTCTAGCCCAGGTACATACTTGAGTTGTGCACCCCTAGTGTAAAAGGTGGCAACTCTGTCCACACCAGATCAGATATCTGTCATATCACAGCCCTCTCTACACATCCCTTCTTCCAACACATAGCACACAGTCTGTAAATATAAAATCCCCTGGAAAAATTGAATGCTCGGGCACTTTTTCAGAAGTTAAGAGATACTTGCTACTTAAAAGGTTGAGAAACACTGCCATAGAGTAGCAGCAGTTCTACAGTTCCCTAAAAATACAGTTTTACCATGTCTACTATAGTGTTGAGTGTTCAGGGCATGTCTTACAGTGCATGGTAAGGTCCAATTAGGTCTTTTGGATGCAACTGGAGTAGAATGTCTCTCAGTATTTCTTGCTTTGGTTGAAGTTAGCAATTGGTATGATTTCCCTATACCTGCCCCTTCAAGTCACAACTTTCCTCCTCAAGAGATCAAACAAAATGCTTCACAGGATTTTAAGGCTACAGGAACAGATAGGTTTGATAATTTGTGTTAAACTTCAAGACTCAGTAATGCAATTTTTTTTTTAACTTTGTGCAAGTGTTCTGCCCACTCCTCCCCTAAAAGCGACACACAACTCCTTCCCTCCCCTCCTTGGAAGCAAAAGATCAAAATGCTGCTTGCTTGTTGGAGGCAAATTAAACTATAGCCTTATGGATTATTGCTGTTGAGGCTGCCTGTAAAGAAATGCCATATTTAAGCAGTTTAATTGGTAGAGCACCTCATCTTAAGAGGCCCACACATTCAAAATGAGGAACTCTATTTTAAAGGAGACTGAAAAGTGTTACCAGTGTATGTGAAGCAGACAAAATATGGCTTAAGATCCAAAGTAACTTTTTTATTAGGTTGTACTGATGGTTGGCATTTGATTCTGTGTCTAACTAGAGGGCAGATAGATATGGTGATTATGTCAGAAGCCAGCACTAATCTCACTGAAGGATGCTATGGAAGAAATAATAGAACTGGCACAGGTAGCTACAGCTGTCACAGAAGTGACTGAAGCAAAATGGTAAGACTGGGTCCGAAATGTGCATTTAGAGCAGGGCATAAACGTTTCACAAATATTCTTGGTAGTTGCTGGATAGCAGCTGCAGAGAGAGTTTAAATATGGGGAAGGGTGCTGTAAATACCAAGCGTGTCCAGGTAGTGGTTTCCAACTTATAATGCAATAGCTTTCACACAGCAAAAGTAGTATTATTTAAAACAGGAAGTTACCCATTTACCTTGAGTTAAACCATGTTTGTTATAGGATGCCCCTATAAAAGTGATTTGAGTCAATCATGATAGAAGCACTTTTTCACTTTCCAGAAGGACAAAGCCATAATGCTTGTCCTTAAGAATGCTTCTAGAAAGAACAAAAGTGGAATGTACTCAGCTCTCACACTAACTGCACATTCCTTTAAAGATGACCACTACAGCAAGTTGAACAGAGGCTACTTTTCCTTAGCAATCAGTCCCAGATGCAAAGCTACAGCTGTTTCCTTGATGGCAAAACAAGTTTTAAAAGGTTCATTCAGTAAAATGCAGTGCATTTATTTCTTGCAATATCTATATGGGAGTTTTAACTTTCGAACTGAACACATACAAATGTGTACAGCTTTGACAATTATCGACACTAGAAGCAAGGAAGTCGTTGTGTAGAGTTCATAGGGAGAAAAAAGAGAATAATTTAAACTGCTTGGCTTCATTAACTTCCAACAAAAAAGACAAACTTAAAGGCCTTATGAAAGTAGCATATCCTTTAAAAAAAAAAAAAAAGAAAAGAAAAGAAAAAGAGTTTAGCAACTAGAATCATCCATCAATGTATGCAGCCAGAGTCTAAGTTCTCATTCTCTCTACAAGCAAAGAATGTAACTTACACACAGAAGTTTCCATTTTATCTAGATAATTGGTGAGAATTTACTATTATATACACACTTGCATATGTAACAGCAGGTTGGCTGGAAACTGCTACTCAATCTCACAAATTTGATTTTTGGTTCACTCAACCCAGACTGCAGTGTTGGCATCAGCTGAAAAAGAAATGCAGTTTCTGAGGAATGCATTGCCACTGGTATACAGAATACCCTCACCAATGGCTTCATTTATCTTACATATTTGTCAAATGTATAACTACAGACATGAAGCGAGTGGAACCCACATAGGAAACATCACCATTGTGTTAATGAGAAACAAGGACCAAATTCAAGTATTATTTCAGTTTGTTTATATTCCTCCACGCTCTAGGAGAGCTAAAACTCCTTCTGCCATTTCTTTGTAGTCTTCAACATATTAATGGACACTTACAACATTTGTTCCTGTCATCCACAATAGAAATTTAGTGGTAAGTCAAAGGCTTAGTTTTCTCTCTCACTGCTTTAAAAACAAGACTGACTCATCAGCATGAACATGATAGAGGGCCTGCTAATGGCTGTTTCATTAAGTCTAGTAATGAATTAC